CTGCCAAGGAGTGGGGACGTCCATCCCCATGCGCGCTATTCTTGGGCCAGGGTACTTGCTAATACTAGAATATGTACGTCCCCTGACCCTTTGTATGAAGCTTGACCCTCTTTAGGACGGAACTCTTCCCAAACCGCCAGATAGGTAACCCATCATCTTGGGCCCCTCTGAACATAATATGCTAGTAAGGTGCTCCCCCTTCCGACTAGATCGAGCAAGGGACGCTCTTGCCCGGACCCTCTCCCCCTGAATGTATTAGGCGGGAGTAAAGGACTACAACCTGGGTCTGCTACCCGAGGACCTTAAGAGGCCCGAACCAAGCTGCCTCAAAAAATATGGATAAGACGAACACAATGCATGTGTGTATGTATGAATATATGGGATGTGATGCATGAATGTGTGAATGCATGTAATGTATGAGTGCAATGTATGAAAGAGGGTGTGTCAGGCGTGGTATACAGTGGTGGGTCCCATCCTATAAAGGAATAGTGATCTCAAACATGATAAAGAATATGTACCTTTGCTTGGGTTGCCTCCCAAGAAGCGCCTCGTTTAACGTCGCGGCACGACGCCATCATTGTGTTCAATCGTTCAAGCTTGGATCATGATAATTATTTTGACTCTTCACTTCAAAAATCTTTCCAGGATCAAATATCCAGATTTCCATTGATTCATGTGGTGAGAGTGAGGGAAAGAAATTATCGATTAACATGATCAATGGAAAATGTTTTGATCTCTCAATTTTTGTGAAGATTTCAAAAATGTCTTTATCCTTTTCAATTTTATGAGTTTCCCTCGAAGTTTTTAGAACTGTTGGGGTTACCTCAAAGAATGATAAGGATAGATATTTGACTTTGAAACACGGTTCATCCTCTTCTTTGACCAGCTCGAGCTCCGTGTCTCTTTCTTCTTCTACTTCTTCTGGATTTTGGATCTCCTCTTGCATTTCCTTCTCATTTGTCAATGTGATTGCAAAAGTTTGCTGTTTAGGATCACATTCTATTTGAGAGGAAAGTTTTCCCGAATCCCTTGCTTCAAGCCTACTCACGGCTCCGGCTATTTGACTCACTTGAGATTCCAAGTTCAAAATACTAGACTTGGTCTCATTTTGGAATTGCACCATGTTTCGTTGCATGGTGGTCACGCTGTTAGTAAGAGCCCAAACCATGTCCTCCGTAGACATGTTAGAGTTGGAGAATGGATCATACCTCATGTGAGGTACATAATTACTTTGTGCGAGGTATTCTTCTTGGAGCTTTGGGCAAAAATCCGCAATATGCCTGTGAGACATGCAAATATCACAGGTCTTGGCATCTTGAGTTTCTGAGTTTAAGATAAACTCCTTTATGAGAGAAGCCAAAACGGAAATTTGACTCTCTAAGGATGATTTGTTGGTATCCATATACTCATGTAAGCTCAGAAAATAGAAAAGTAAATTTTTTATATATATTTTTTTATTTTAATTTTTTTTATTTGAAATAAAAGAAAATAATTACCTTTCCCCGGCAACGGCGCCAAATTTGACGTGCACTTGTCGTGAGGTGCACTCAAAATAATTAATGAATACAACACTAATACGTAGTATAGTGAAGTAAGGTTCGTATCCACAGGGAAATGAATACTTTTCTTTTATATAAATAGTAACAAGGGGGGTTTTAAGTTTGATTTGATTTAATTTAATTAATACTAAAATGAACGACTTATATGAGTTTAATTTATAGAGATAAGGACTTGGTTTTGCTTTTATCCACTTAATGAAATGTTCGTCGATCCCGGTTATATCTTTAACTATCTTCCTTTCGAATACTCAATCGAGGAGTATATTCAGTTCATCGAGGATAGTTATTAATAACGAGACGCGTTAATTAATAACACTTACTACCGAGCCAATATAGAACACACGTTGTATATTAACACGATAGTAGCAATAAACTTGAGATGAAAACGATTGAGATTGATAACCTCAACACAAGCGGTTTATCGACTTAATCAATATAATTAATTCCCCTTAGATTATTAACCATGAGACGCATGCATTAATAATCCAAGTTTACTACGGTTGAAGGAACCGAATCAATAACAAGCGTATTAATCGATTTATTCTAGTAATAATTAATATATGAAACAAAACTAGTTGATCCTTTAAGTAATGATCAAAATATTAATATGAAATATGAATAGGAATTAATTAATACACAAGGAAGAATATTAAAGAGTATGAATTCTACTATAGTTAATATCAAGATGTTAACTAATTGTCATCTTAGTAACACTCCCCAATATTAACATAGAGGAAGAATTAACTATTACTATAACTAATGTCAAGATGTTAACTAATTGTCATCTTAGTAACACTCCCCAACATTGATATAGAAATAGTATTTAAAGGAAGAATTAATATTCAAGGAAGAAAATTAAAGAGAATAACTCACAACTTACAAATTCATTAAGCTTCAAAGTAGCAAAACCAAGATGGAAGAGTTTAGCTACTCATTTGGAGACTAAACATGCTAAAAATAAAAAAAGAAATACTTAACTAAACTGAGCTAAAGAGTATATGTGAATTGGTTATTTTATTGTGAAGGAAAGGGGTGTATTTATAGGCTTTTGAGAGCTGCAGGGTCTGATACCCGACCGGGTATATAGGATACCCGACCGGGTATCTTAGGAAATTTCTCAGAAATTCACTTTTCTGGGCATACCCGATCGGGTATGTCGGCATACCCGATCGGATATGTGACAAATCTTAACGAAATCTTGCTCCCACGATCATTTGTTCCCGGATTTGATTTGGACAATCGAATCAAGCAAATACCCGATCGGGTATAGGCAATACCCGACCGGGTTCATGAGTATTTTTTCCAAATCGAAATCTTTCTTGCCTCCTTGCACTTTCCTTGATCTTTTAAGGTCCAATCTTGATCCCTTGGATGATCTTTGACCTGTTTAGCTCTGAAAAGTCCTAATCTAAACAAATTACAAATAAATATGAAAATAAAGTATTACACCAAAAGTGTGTAATTTCCTCAACTAGAACTAATAAAAACTAGTTAAAAATACAAACATACAATCGGAAATTACATGAATATCAACTCCCCCACACTTAGCTTCTTTACTTGTCCTTGAGTAAAGTCAAATGTTTAACAGTTCCAAGTCCTCAAAAGTTCAACAATCAACCAGAAAAAGCAAAAGACCACCAAGTATTTTAAATGATGTCCTGTAAAAACAAATATATATCTCTCATTTTGCCTAGGAGTCTTTTCAGGTTTTCATCCTAGCATCTCTTTTATTTTTCCACCTCTCCACTCACTCATCATTTTTTTGTAAGCCTTTTTTGCTTAGATTGCCCATTTTTTGGGTTTTCAACCTAACTAGCATTTATTTTTATTTTATTTTTTGCGAAGAAAATAATGCTAGTTTACAAGGTATCAAACTTAAGTACGCACCGATGAGTGACTAAATTTGACGTGCACTTTGTCGTGAGGTGCACTCAAAATAATTACAATACAACACTAATGTGTAGTATAGTGAAGTAAGGTTCGTATCCACAGGGAAAGGAACACTTTTCTTCTATGTAAATAGTAACAAGGGGGGTTTCCAGTTTGATTTGATTTAATTCAATTAACACTAAGATAAACAACCTATATGAGTTTAATTAATAGATGTGGATGCTTGGTTTTGCTTTTTATCCACTTAATGAAATGTTCGTCGATCCCGGTTATATCTTTAACTATCTTCCTCTCGAATACTCAATCGAGGAGTATATCCAGTTCATCGAGGGTAGTTATTAATAACGAGATGCGTTCATTAATAAAACTTACTATCGAGTCAATATAGAACAAGCGCCGTATATTAACTTGATAGTAGCAATAAACTTAAGATGAAAACGATTGAGATTGATAACCTCAACACAAGCGGTTTATTGGTTTAATCAATATAATTAATTTCCCTTGGCATATTAACCATGAGATGCATGCATTAATATTCCAAGTTTACTACCGTTGAAAGAACCGGATTAATAACAAGCGTATTAACCGATCGATTCTAGTAATAATTAATATGAGAAACAATACTAGTTGATACTTTAAGTAATGTTTAAAATATTAACATGAAATATGAATAGGAATTAATTAATGCTCAAGGAAGAATATTAAAGAATATGAATCCTACTATGATTAATATCAAGATGTTAACTAATTGTCATCTTAGTAACACTCCCCAATATTAACATAGAGGAAGAAATAGCTATTACTATAACCAATGTCAAGATGTTAACTAATTGTCATCTTAGTAACACTCCCCAACTTTGATATAGAAATAGTATTTTAAAGGAAGAATTAATATTCAAGGAAGAAGATTAAAGAAAATAACTCACAACTTACAAATTCATTAAGCTTCAAAGTAGCAAAACCAAGATGGAAGAGTTTAGCTCCTCATTTGGAGACTAAACATGCTATAAATATATAAGAAATGCTATTCTAAACTGAGCTTAGGAGTATGGAAGAAGGGATATCTAAAAGTGAAGGAAAATGGGGTTATTTATAGGTGTTTTTAAGACCTATAGCCGGATACCCGGCCGGGTATTTTGACATACCCGACCAGGTATTTACCAAATCAAATATTTTCCCATGTTTTTGTGTCTTCTGCACGTTCTTTGGTCCGAAATCACTTCATACCCGACCGGGTATATGGAATACCTGACCGGGTATTTGCTAGTTTTGCAGCAGTTTCCTTTGTCACTTCATACCCGGCCGGGTAAAGTCCATACCCGACCGGGTTTTGCATAAAACTCAGGTTTTTCCATCCTGCTTGCATCCAAACCTATCCTAAACTTATAGCTCAACTAACTACAACTTACAACAAACAATAAAATGCTAAAAATACGATCACAATCAAATGCAAACTACCAACTACAAACTTGCATAATACTAGTAAATAAATATTACGAATGATAATAAAAATGTACACTTAGGCACTAACAACTAGTGCCTATCAAACACCCCCGCACTTGAACTTTTACTCGTCTCGAGTAAAACAAATCATGTCCATGAAGTTTCCAAACCAACAATTGTAGCAATTACAACCATTCACAAGTGTTTTTGAAAATCAACATAAAAGAATGTTTCAATGATCAAAACACATGAATAGAAGGTCTTCAGCATCATTGGGTTCCTCTTCTTTCGCTCCTTATGTGTACCCTTAGGATCCTGCAAATATAAAAGAAATACTTTCTCTCATTCTCTCATTTTGCCTAGGTGCCCTTTCGGGTTTTCATCCCTGCTTCCCACATTTTTCTTTTTAATTCTCCCCAACTCACTCTTCTTCTTTTTTGCTTTTATTTTGCTTAAGTTGCCCTTTTTGGGTTTTCAACCTAACAAGCTTATTTTTTTTTTAAATAGCAAGAATAAAGAGCACGAAATGGGAGCATACCAGAATAGTTCTCCCCCCAGCTAGTTCATGGAACTGCCCCTAGTGCCCGCCCGCATCTCCTCCATCAAAGAATCCACCATGACCGTAGTAGCTGTCATGAAAACCGCCCGTATATGGATATTCATCGTCGTTTGTGTCTGAGCTGCCACCATATCTGCCATCACCACCTCCGAAATCCCTGCCAACACCATCACTGCCAGCTTGTCCACCTCCTCCGGAGCTAGATCCTCCGAAATTACCCCAATGTGAGGGGTCATACCATGTAGGATGTTGGACCGGAGTGGGCATGTGGGAAAAGTACCCTTTGTGGTCAAAATATGCGTACATAGGCCCGAAGGCCCGTCTTTGATCGTCTTCCACCCTTTGATACGCACTATAGAGATCGTCGATGCGTGTGTTCATTGCCGTTTGGTTAAGATTGAGTTGTTGTATACCGGCAAGCATTTATTGTTCAAAGGGGGTGTATTGAGGGGGTTGGGGATCGGGTTGTGGCTGTGCTTGTGGTTGTTCGGGACTGGGTGGTGGCTCAAGTTGAGGGATGTCATAAAGATAGTGGTCAGGAGTAGTTCCGGGTAGGCAAAGGTGTCTCCTATCCCCAAGTTGATGGTTAAAAATGTTGGGGAGTTCATCGGAGGGGATTGTAAAAAGTTGTGTGGGTGAGGGATTTAGGGTCCAATGGTAAAATGTTGTGGTCCCAATGGTGTGGGAGTGACTCAAATCATGTGCAGTGAGTAGAAACTTAAGATTAAGGAAATTCCAATCTTGTACTTCTCTATTCGCACAATAGCCAAATTTGGTACAAATATGATGTATGTACCCTCCTATGAAAATGTCACCCATAGCTTCACATTCCTTTTTTAGATGGTCCCACAAACATGAAGCAAGATCTAATCTAGGAGCTTCGGGAAAGATACTCATAGCAAGAAGGGCCAATTCACTAATCCTTGTTTGATGACTATTTGGCCTCCCAAAGACATCATACTCAAACCATTTCAGTGCGATTCGAAGGGTAGGGTGTTGAACATGTGTAACATGCATATGTGAAGATTTAAAAACCCTAACCCTTGTCATCCTTCGCCACAAATCATGCACAATGGTCTTATCAACTCTTGCCTTTCTTTCCTCCACACCTAAAACCGGTAAACCAAATAGCTCGGCAAACTCACGTTTCGTTAAAGTTCTTGGTATGTTGTTATACCGAAACGTGAGTTTGCTCTCATAGGTGTCCTCTATATCTTCAGTAAATTCAACCGATGCTAGGAACTCATACATAATTCTTTTGTAGATATTATAGGACATATTGAACAATGTAGTAAGTCCTATGTTGTTGCACAATTCTAGCATCATATCATACAACATCAATGCTCGCAATGTTTCATGACAAAGAAATCGGGTTGAATGTACCTCTCGATTGAGTTGGGTGAGGAATTTCTTGTGATGAGCCCTAGAGGTGAATTCGATGCTCTCATACCCCGGAACTTGTGGAATTGGAGCACTTGAGTTGGAGGAAGATGCTCTAGTCCTTTTTGGTGCCATAGTTAACTTTTTTCTTGGACTTGGGGGTTGGAATTTCGGACTTGGGACTTGGGGGAGTGAAAAATTCGGACTCTTGAGAATTGGGTGTTTTTGAGGGTGTGGAGGTGTAGAGAATGATGTGGGGAAGAAGAAATGAGGTTAGGTTTGGGTTAATTTGAGAAAAAATCGGACCCTTGAAGATTTTGGGATAGGGTTTTCGGATTTGGGGATTTTGGGGTATGTGGTGGTTTTTGTGGGTGTAGAAATGGAGAGGATGATGTGGGGAGGAAGATTGTGGAGTTTATTTGGAATTTTGGTGGATGATTGGGATGGATTTGGAGCTTGGGAATTTTGGCTATGGAGGTTTGGGGGTTTTTTGCTTGGGAGTAGGGAAGAAGATGGAGGTTGGGAGCTGATTTGGGGAAGAAATCCCGTCAAATACCGTTTTTCGCACAAATACCCGGCCGGATATTTCGTAATACCCGAATGGGTATTCGATTTTTCAGCAGGCAGAATGTTTTTTTAGCCAAATACCCGGTCGGGTTTTTGTAATACCCGGTCGGGTATTAGGCTATTTTATGCCTTTCGTTTATTTTTTATGTCCGGCAGGTTTTTTGGTTGATACCCGAATGGGTACGCCCGACAGTAGCTCTGAGGGGTGAAAAAAATGCTAAAACCCGGTCGGGTTTTATACATACCCGATCGGGTATTCTCTCATTTTTTTGATTTTTTCATTTTTACCCGGTGGATGAGTTGCCCGGGTATACCCCTTTTGTGTTGTTACCCGACCGGGTATGGGATATACCCGGGCGAGTTTTCCTCCCAGATTTTTTTTTTTGAAAAGTGTAAGGATAAAATAAAACAAGTAAATGTACCTTGTCGTGAGGTGCACTCAAATAAAACAAGTAAACGTACCATCTCTTTTATTTTTTTCACCTCTCCCGGCATAAGTTAGTGGTCCTCATCTGCTCGTCATACCTGCCCTTTAGCCCGGTCCTTTGGATCCTGAGTTGAGCTAGGCCGTCGTAGTCTGTGAGGGGCCGATCGTGCGGCATAAGATTTTGTTCCGTCATCCGCTCGTCGTACCCGCCCTTTAGCCTGATCCTTTGGATCATGAGCTGAGCTAAGTCGTCGTAGTCAGTGAGGAACGAGTTTATCCTCTTTGGGGATTCCCCTGCCCTTTATATTAATTTTTTTGGGCTTTTTCTTCGTTTCGTCATCCGCTCGTCTTACCCGCCCTTTAGCCCGGTCCTTTGGATCCTGAGCTGAGCTAAGCCGCGATTTGTGATAGGAAACGGGTTTACCCCTTTGGGGATTCCCCATTTCTTCGTTTCGCCATTCGATCGCCTTACCCGCCCTTTAGCCCGGTCCTTTGGATCCTGAGCTGAGCTAAGCCGCAATTTGTAATGGGAAACGGGTTTATCCCCTTTGGAGATTCCTCATTTCTTCGTTTCGCCATCCGCTCGTCTTACACGCTCTTTAGCCCGGTCCTTTGGATCCTGGGCTGAGCTGCAATTGTGATGGGAAACGACTTTATCCTTTTGAGGATTCCCCAGTGCCCCTCTATATATTTTCCTTTTTTTCTTTTTTTTGAGGGGTCTTTGAATATGATGATGGCACCGTACTAGGGGGTCGGTGGCTATATAAAGTTGTCGGCGTTGGGGCGGATCTGAAACAATCAATCAATTGTCCTCACCCGCGAGGAGCGGGGACGAGGCCGGTCTTCAAATATGATAGTGGCATTGTACCAGGGGTCGGTGGCCATGAAATGATGTCGGCACTGGGGGCCGATCTGAAAGAATCAATCAACGGTCCTCATCCGCGAGGAGCGGGGACAAGGTCGGTCTTCAAATATGATGATGGCACCGTACCAGGAGGTCGGTGGCCATATGATGATGTCGGCACTGGGGGCGATCTGAAAGAATCAATCAACGGTCCTCATTCGCATGGAGCAGCGACGAGGCCGGTCTTCAAAAATGACAGTGGCACCGTACCAGGGGGTCGGTGGCCACGAAATTATGTCGGCACTGGGGGCCGATCTGAAAGAATCAATCAACGGTCCTCATCCGCGAGGAGCGGGGATGAGGCCGGTCTTCAAATATGATAGTGGCAGCGTACCAGGGGTCGCTGACCACGAAATGATGTCGTCCCTGGGGGCCGATCTGAAAGAATCAATTAACGGTCCTCATCTGCGACGAGCGGGGATGAGGCTGGTCTTCAAATATGATGATGGCACCGTACCAGGGGGTCGGTGGCCATATGATGATGTCGGCACTGAGGCCGATCTCTGAGAATCGATCAACGGTCCTCATCCGCGAGGAGCGGGGATGAGGCCGGTCTTCACATGTGATAATGGCACTTGATGAAGAACAGGTTTATCCCTTGGGATTCCCTGGTGCCCCTCTAATTTTTTTTTGAGGGGTCTTCTGGGGTTGGGATGCTCGTCTCCAGGCACTTGGCCTCTGGGGGTGGGGATGCTCATCTCCAGGCCCTTGGTCGTGATGGTCGCCTTGAGGCCCTCGGCCTCTGGATCAACCTCCAGAGTGAATATGTTCGTCCCCAAGTTCTTCGCCTTGGTGGTCTTCTTGGGGCCTTGTCCTCTGGATCAACCCCTCGGGTGAAGATGTTCGTCCCCAGGTTTTTGGCCTTGATGGTCTTCTTGGGACCTCGACCTCTGAGGTGAAGGTGCTCGTCTCCAGGCCCTTGGCCCCTGAAGGTCTTCTCTAGACCCTCGGCCTTTGGGGTGGAGATGCTCGTCTCCAGGCCCTTGGCCTCTGAATGTCTTCTCTAGATCATCGGCCTTTCGATGGAGGATGCTCGTCTCCACTACGATTCATCTTTTATCGGTCGTCCCGATCATGATCTTTATGTGCATAGTGAACATAGTAACGTAGCCAAATGGCCAGACAATATGCATGTGTACACCCAACTTTTTTTTCGATTTGCGGTTCTTCTGGGTGTGATTGTCGACGTAAGGGTATAATGACCCTCGGCTCGTCACCTAGTCATTAAAATGACGGTGAATTTTATCACATGAGTTTGGCTCGGCATTATTTAATTTTATCAATAATATATTCTTGTAAATTACTTAAAGTGTAGAGAAGGTGACTTAGCTTTGGACGAGCTGAACTTGGCAGATTGCTGAAACCCCAACGAAGCTTCCCTTGGATTAAATATGACCGGCCCAATGTTCTAATTCATATCCCACTTTGCAAAAGCATGGAAGTGTGGAGCCCACCACTTTAGTATAGAACCTGCCGGCTTCTCCTTTCCTTGCAGTATCTAGCGGAGACTATTCCGCGCCAGACGTTCTGCAGCAAAACCCCATGGGGCCGGGCGGCCTCCAACCAGGGTGGTCAGCGTCACAGAGCCCGTGCATGGTGGTAAAGGATGGGGCCGTGGTAGGAAACGGGCGTCCAACCTCCCAGCGCACCCAAAGACGTCCCAAGGCTGAGTGACTTTGAGGGCTCGAGGTCCGGCGGCGGGAGACGAGCTGGTGAAGACGATCGTGGTGAAGACGAGCGTGGTGACCCGCGATGTGCTATATAAGAAGACGGTCGGCGCGGTGCAATTGGTTAGATGTTTCCCTGTGGCACTTGCTTGGTTGACTAAGAAGCTCGGCCTCGCACGGAGTCTTTTTTGCTAGCCTTCACCAACTTTTGAAGCTGGTCCGAGTGGCGGCCTCCAGAATTCAGGGTGGCCAGTCCACCAGGGGCCCGAGTTGTCTTGGGGACGAACGGTGTTGATCACCGGCCGGGTGGCGTTTTTTAGGAGACGGATGGCAGCTTCACCGGTCGGGTACTGATCCGGACGGCATTGAGCATCAAGCAGGGCTTTGGAAATCGGGCATCCAGCCTATACGATCCTGGCTATCCCCTGAGGTGCGCTGAGAACCGAGCGGTGTCTTGAGAAGCCGTTCGGGGATTGAGGCTAGTAAGCTGATCTGGTCGGGCAACCCAACTTCAGGGGAATTCCAACCTTCAATCCCAGTCACGCTGGGTGAAGGCAAATGATGTGTTGGAGGACAAGCGGCATGTGCTGATATTGCTCGACGGTGCATTGTCTATGATTAAGAGGCCGATCGAGCAGCTTGGTCTTGGCGGCATTCACCAGGTGATTTGAGACTAGGCGGCACTCATCTGTGGTGTTCTGAGGTGATTTGAGACTAGGCGGCACTCATCTGTGGTGTTCTGAGGAGTATCGAGTGAGTCTCGATGATGTCACGGGGGGATAGCCTGGCCGCAAGCCAAGCTCTTCAGATGATGATGTGTCGTCATGTGCCTGAGCGGCGAATGGGCCTGCATGTGGCCACATTTACTTGGTCGGGCGGTGCGTAACGGAGGTCATCCCTCACATAGAACTGCAGGCGGTTGTTGCAGGCGGTGTTTAACAGGTTTTTTCATGGGAGAAGAAACGGAGTGGTACGACGGATCCCATGCACTGGTAACCAACCACCGTCGGACCGGACCCCATACATTGGTCAACGTTCCACGCCGCTCGTCACTTAAGTTCCCATGGACTATGGTCCTCGGCTAAACGAAACAGATGCCGCCCGGCAGAGGAAAACCCGCTCGTCTCGCAACCATGCAAGTTTTAGTTCTTTGAGACGGTACATGTGGGACCCACATGTCAACTTTCTGACAGCTTTTACATCTTCTTCCGGATAATACGGCTACTGTCGTTGTTATGGTGTGTGGGCCCTACCCTTAGTCAACCCATGGACTCTTGGACGCTTCTTGCTAATTGGTGTACTCGTCGGTTTGGCGTAATGCTCCTTTGGTTCACTTGGTATGGCAGATTGGTAGATTTCTGATGTCCAACTGTTTCTCGTTGGCCTTCATTGTTGTTTCCTGATGTACATATACAACCAAAGCTCCCTTTCCCATACATAAGATCAGGAAGCAGTGAAGCACCTTCCACTTTCATTCGTTTCTCTTTCTTGCTAAAACCCAGATCTCCCAGGATCATTATTTTCTTTTCCTTCCTCTCGTTCAAACCAGTAGCCTTTCGTATCATTTTTTTTGTTGAAAATCACTTCTACGTCTTAGATTTCTGTCGAAAATCAAGAACACGTGAATCTTTTGGAACTGATCCCCACAGACGGCGCCAGTGTTGAGGTTTATTCCTTCAACCCGTAGGCCCAACACGTAACCTAAGGGTCTTGAGTGGATCGTTTAGTAAGTTAGATGAAGAAACAAGCAAGGAAAAGGCCCAATAAAGAGTATTTATTCACTGAAACGATTACAGAGTCAAGGACCGTTCGTACAGTGCTATTCTACGAGCTGATACAATTGCTAGAATGCTAGAGTGCTAAATTACGAACCCTTTACAGTGAAATAAATGCTTCTATTTATACTGTCAATAGGTAGTTGGATGCGTTGACGTGGCTGGCTATGGATGGCACGATTTCAATCACCAAAACTTCTACATTAAATGCGCTTTCCGCCAGAATCTTGGTTTCCCGCCAAGGGGTTGGGACGTTCGTCCCTATGCACTTGAGCCATGTCTCCTGCTGGACTCTTGGCATCCTACCAAGAAGTGGGGGGCGTCCATCCCCATGCACTTGAGCTATTCTTGGGCCAGGATACCTGCTGATACTAGAATACGTACATCCCCTGACCGGCTGACCCTTTGTACTGAAGCTTGACCCTCTTTGGGACGGAACTCTTCCTGAACCGCCAGACAGGTAACCCATCGTCTTGAGGCTTCAATAGGACATTCGTAGGAGGTCCTCGTTAGGGGTGGACTCGGGCCGGGCCAACCGGCCCGCTACTGTGCGGACCCGGCCCGACCCGGTGAACCGGTTCCGGGACCGGGCCGGGCCAACCGGCCCGGTGAGATGGCGGTTCGGGCTCGGGCCCTTCAAAAAGGTGAACCGGCCCGGCCGGTTCGAGCCCAGGCCGGGCCATTTTTTTTTTTAATTTTTTTTTAAGTTTTTGGGTTGGGCTAGGTATTTTGGGCCATTTCAGGTGGTTAGGGTTGGTTTGGGGGTGAGGGGAGGGTTGGGGGTTAACTAGGAAAAGCCAAAAACAAAACAAAAATAGAACTGAGGCCCGGCCCGGCCAGGCCCGGACCCGGGGGTTACCCGGGCCGGTTCCGGGCCTCCCCTTCTTGAACCGAGGCCCGGCCGGGCCGAAGCCTGAACCGGGCCGAAACCGGTCCATGCCTGGTCCTCATGGGCCTTTTGGGGACGTTCGTAGGAGGTCCTTAAGGGTTGATGGGCCGGCCATTGTCGAGCCATTAACCCAGCAATTACATTATTAATGTGTAGTTTTTTTATTTGTATTAATATAATATGTTCCATCATTTGCAATGAAGTCAAAGATTCATTATTTTTTGGCTTGAGATTATGATGGAATAAAGCAAAATGACTCACTAAACTGTCTGCGCTTCGTTGTTATGAAGCAACAGCCAGCCCATGCAATTTTGGACGGAATTTTCACTATGGGTCATCCAGAAACAGTCTCTCTGTGCTTTAGTACAGGGGTAAGACTACGTACATACGACCCTCTTACCCCACCGTAGGTGGGAGCCTTTGCGGCACTGGGGTAAATGAAAATGAAAATGATGAATATAATATTTAGAAATAATTGTAGGAACCCATCCAAGACTGGACCGGTACCCGTAATACCCGGGTCAATTCCAGACTTCGCTAAATAGGAACCGGGAAAATTTGCTTTGATCGTTCGTTAAAAGCAAGTCAGCCAGGAAAATGAAAATGAATGAAAGTTTAAAAAATGGAAAAAACATTGGGATCTAAATTGTAAGAGCAGTACCAAATACCAATCCAGTTCCATTCCTGGACCAGGGCGTAGGACAGGAGACTAGCGCTTTTTAGAACATTGGTTATGCATTAGGAAAATTAGTCATCTCAGTAGTTCGAATTGATCCCCAAGTGTGAATCCCCCAATCCAGATTTCTACTTTTAAGCCAAGTGCAACAATGCAGTTTTGCCTCACAAATAATCTCATTTCATGTCGAATTGCACAAAATTCAATGTATACTGATAGTATATGTATACGTTATTGTCAGGGGTTCAGCACAGTGCCTGCCTACAAGTAGCACTAAACTCACTTTCATCGATCCTCCCGGGTTTGATATGGTTTGCCCTGTCAGCTAGCGGCTTTACAGAATTATCTTTTCCACAACTTTTTCCTGCGGCCATGAGAAATAAACATTTGCTTGCATGCACAATCATGAGTTTTTGCTAGAATTGACCAGATAAAACTCGAGGCTTTCCCTTCATTGAATTTAGATGCTGAGAGACAAATAGCACTCCCATGACAATGATAAGGCAACCAACCAATGTGCTAAAGAAAAGTGCACCAGGTTGTCTGGTTTGAACAAACCCATAAACACCATTAGATGTAACAATGATGAGATCAGTTAGCCCATCATTGGAGAAGTCTTCAGTGACCAATGCATGGGTGGGAGGAGCGGGGAGTTCAATGGTTGTTAGTATACTTCCTCCAGGAGATATGACTATGGCTTCTTGATCTCCTGCTGCAAGGATCAGTGGTTGATTATCGCCATGCACACGTAATGAGAATGCCTTCAGAGTAGGGACCACCATGCCACCTTCCATCATCCCCAATGGAGATGGAAGGTTTGACCATGTTGCACCAGTCAATAGCTGCCAATTCCAGACTGCATCATGTCCGTGCAAGCCAGGTGAATAACAAGTCACCTATGAACAAATAGTGTGATGATTGTTACTAGATATCTATAAATGGGGGTGCTCGGCCAGGCTTTTTTTACCATTTTTACCCATAAGTCTGGGCCATGCCTGTATCTCATGGGCCAAATACAAAGCCCATAGTCCCATACCCGTCCATAAGTCCTACTCGGAAGAATATGTTACTATGAATCAATACAAGCCAGCCTTTACCGAAGGCTTGGGACGAGTGGACTAGCACAAAGTTACACAAGTCTATGTGTCACTCATCTCCAAGCATTTTATACTCATACTTCGGGGGGTAGGGAATGTGGGAGCTATACATTACCTCGCCACGATTTGTTAGAAAGATCACATCCCCGTGGCTTCCCTTACGATGCTGATGACCATCATTCCTCTGAATAAGAATAGGTGTTGCAACCTCCAAGAAACTTGCATCAAAATGTTGACCTATACTTCTGGTGAATTCCGCATGCTGGAATAAGTTAAAAGGAGAGTGACGACAAATAGAAGCATTAAAAAGTTGTTCTCGCACCGGCACACCAGATGTTGCAACAGCCCAACAGGGGCGCAGAACCTCCATGGATCCACTGATAGTTGTCTGTTCAGCTCCATTCCCTCCCACAGCCTGGACAAGTTTTCAACATCGCATGAAGCAATTCCCAGTCAGTTTTTACTTTTTCCTTACCCAACTTGAAGTATAAATTTTGGTAACAAATACTCATTTGAGTGCAATCCCGTGAAACTAAAATTTACCCCTCATTTGTGATCGAATCACCCTTACCCCACCGTAGGTGGGAGCCTTTGCGGCACTGGGGTAATGATGATGATGATTTGTGATCGAATCACCTTATTACTTCAGTTGACAAAATAAAAACAAAATAAAATATGGATACCTGGATATGATCTAAAACCCCATCTCCATTTATATCAGCATGCAGACCACCTTCTTGAAGGTGAAGCTGGTGGATTAGGTATTCACATTAGAACAAAAACTTGTCCGAACTCAAGAATTTAGACATGGCATGTGTACGCATTAACAACATAAGAAAAGCATGAACATTGCAACAATATAGTGTGTTGAAGCCCTTGATTTCATAAACTATGTTCCGGGGTATGCCAAGCTCTTTGTTTGTTTATTATCTTGTACGATTTCTTTTATAGTGTCTCACAGTTTTGGATAAATACACTATTGCATGTGTGTACACAAAATAAATGCAACTATAAATGTGTCATGCTCATGTAGCATATGTTGTTTCGTTTCAGTAAGAAGACATAAAAAGATAGCCACATAAATTGCATCTTCGATATGCAGAAAAACATAAAATAAAATTTATAAAATAATAGCATCAGGGCATTTGTGTAGTGTGTTGACAGGGCATACAAATATGTCTGCTATCTCCTTTAAGTGGGACACATCAGTTAAAGCAAATTTGCCACAATTAAATTACTTTTGCAGTCCTTCAAAAGCATTGGCAATTGGCAAATACAGGGCTAAACATGCACTTAAGAATGCCAAATGGTATGATAGCCCTCTGTCCCATAAAGATAGTATACTTCTCAATCTTGATTCGTCTCACAAAAATAGTCCAGTTTAATAATTGGATATGCATTTAAATATTTATTTTCTAGTTTACCCCTACTTAATCACCATTGTTAAGATTAGATACAACTCCTACATAAAAGATTGTAATTAAACAAAACTGATGCCCCTAATAGTGGTCAAACTTTTGAGGGACAGAAGTAACACTTTTTATATTGTGAGCAATTAAACAAAACTGATGCCCATACTCAATAGCCTTTAAGGTATACCTTACAAACAGTGCGACCAGATGCCAGATGAATAGCTTCTATCCCTTCCTTTTCATGAGCAACAACGACATTAGGTACCCACCATAGTTGAGTATAGTTTGTGATTGTGGGTATGTAAGTTAAGGGCTGCAATATAAATATAGATGGTTACATAAATGGTAAAGAAATGAGAAGAAAGAAAATATACAGTGTTACATACATGGTAAAGAAGTAATAGCATTCCATAGACAATTGGAAGATAACATGAGCAAATATAAACGGGGTCACAAAATCATTCAAGTGTTTCATGTGGTACCATATAAAACATAACTTCCCATCTTCCCCATCACAGTAAAATATAATTGTGATGCAGGATGGCAATATAATCTATGAGCACTCGCTTTTACCTGATCCATGCTAGTAGGAGAGAATCAGATACAGGCACACAGCTTTAGATTCCCAGCCAACCACTGCCAATGTGGGTGGGTTTGTGGGGTATTGAAAGAAACACCCAATGGCGACACGCATCAACTACCTCATATTAATATGTCTTTACATTCATAAGTCAGACTCAAAGTACATAACTTTAGTATTTACTCCCTTAGTCGCTTCATCCCATCTTATAGGTCTCTATCACTACTCAACTCATTTTTCTTCTACGAATTTGTGCGTCAAATTTTTATCATATTCAAATTTGTCAATTTGACTTTTGCAGTTCAATTAGAACATATGGTGTGAATTATTGCGTCGATAGCATCGAAGAGACTACTGCACTAATGCCGTTAAATAATGATGGTGTGATGTCTAGGTGGCCCATTTTGTTGAAATGGATTTTTTTTGTTTCAATCCGACGTGGCACCAAGTGGCAATTAAAGTGGCAACTATTAGTCTGTTACCGCTAAAACGCAATCGTTGTGACTTCTATAGCTACAGTGTACGACCGATGCCGCCGTTGTCGATCACCCACTGGTCATCACTGCTGAACAAAATGGTAGTCTGATACATTGTATGCACCAGTTATATGCCTACAACTTGTGAGCGAATACTTACGATCACCAACTTATTTTGCTTATCCAAATATAGATAAATCGACACTAGACAAAAGTACATTACTTCCATTGTCATCGACCATTTTTACAAACATTAATGTATATAAATTTAACTCGGCAAAAGTATATTAACTAGGTACTAAATCAGTAATTACATTAAAAAAGTAAAAGCTACGCAAAATATTTAATTAATAATACTATTAAATAATCAAGAGCAAGTGAGTTTGTTTAGTGTAGTTATTTTAAAATCATTAAGAATTTTTTGATGATATTTTTGGGGGTTGGCTAACATTAAATAATCAAAAGATTTTGGGGTCAAGTAACATTAATATTTTTTTAAACTCCGCAAGCCAGGATAAACGAGGAGAGTGTTCTGGTAGGCCCGTATGCGACGCGTTATCCCTCCGTTTGGGGTGGCGTTAAATATGCAAGGGCACGCTACACTTAATAGGCCCGGGTGTGGTGATAAGAATACTATTTTGGCTCCGATATCATGTATTGATTCATGTTAGTCGACCCCAAAATCTTTAGGGACTAAAGTTTGGATGTTTTTGTAATTTGTAAGAAAGTTTTTTGAAGTCGTTAAAATAATTACTCCAAGTTAAATTTTATATAAAAATAAGGGAAAGGGGGCAAATAAGACCTCGAACTAACCGGAAAAGTGCAAATCACCCCTTTTATAATGGCTCTGTCCAGCCGTCGCCATTTGGGGCGGTTACCGGTGGAATTTTTTGATGAATTTTTTTGAGCATCTTCTTCATTAAGTTTAGTTTACCCATACCAAATTTCAGCTAAAAAAGCAATCAGGAAGGCAGTCAAATAAATGTTTGAAGATAACTGCGCAGTTAAACAGCGCAGTATATTTCAGAAAATCATTTGACTGCCTTCCCGGTTGAATATTTAGCTGAAATTTGGTATTAGTAAACTAGACTTAATGAAGAAGATGCTCAAAAATATTCATCAAAAAATTCCACCGGGAATCTCCCCAAATGGCAACGGCTGGACAGGGCCTCCTACAAAAGGGGTGATTTGCTCTTTTTCGGTTAGTTCGAGGGCTTATTTGCACCTTTTCCCTAAAAATAGAAATAAAATATCTGGTGGCCAACGGCTGGCCTGCAGCAGCAGTGATGGTCGTGGGCCAGTGGTGGTCGTGAGCCGTAGTTACAAAAGTCAAAACAGGTGGATATTAGCACATTAGTTCCCCAGATAAGATCAAATTGAAAAAAAAACATGTCAGCAATAAAAGGCCATCCAGGAGACCGATGTTAGTGTGTACTTTGTACCCCTTCAATGCTAAAGAGAAACCCATGAAATAACACATACTTTTAAAATTTAATTTTAAATTTGCTTATTATTTATATTATTCAAAAGGAAACCATTTGTAATTTCCATGTATTTGTACTGAAACTTAATCATATACTACCACCGTCCCAAAATACTTAGCCAAATCTTAAAATTTGGACCATAGTTTTGATTAGTATAATATTATGGAAGTTATAGATTTTATATTTTTATGGAAGTACTTTTAACAAAGAACATTTTCATATCATTTTTATATTATAAATAATTTCCAATAAATATATATAATTGGTCAATGTTTTTAAGATGGCTAAGTATTTTGGGACAGGGGTAGTACTTTTTTGTTATACATTCTACAAGAATAATCTTAATTTTTGAAAAATACTTCTACTTTTAGATTTGCAAACAAATTGGTACACCCAAATTCTATAGGATTAGAAATTCCACGAGTCCAACACAACTCTTTATACATGAAAGGAACACCAACTAAAAGGGTTGACTTTGAATACTAGCACACAACTAAAACTATTTATTAAGAAACGATGACGAAGGAAAGGCTCAAATAATTTCATTCAACTCTCACAATCAAGAATAAAAAATAAAAAATAAAAAGACTCACCTTCTTGATTTTTGAAGACTTTGCATAGTTCACAGCCTTCCCAATCATATTTGAGATCCTTTTAGTGGTGTCCTTACCAGGGGGGTGGTTTTCTGAAGGCTTGTGAAGAGGATTACTGTTGGTGCTCTTGCCAGGCATTTTCTTCAATATTTTCCTTTTGTGCTTCTGGAAGTGTGCCAACTTTAATAAAGTGTCTTCTCGACGATCCTGGGAAAATTTTGAATTGAAGGATGAGAGCAATATAAAAGCACAAAACACGGGGAAGATAAAAACAAATAAAAATTAAGTGACATACCCAGCGATGTGGCATTACTCCAAGAATGGATTCTCTGAATTCCCTACATTCAAACTATGGTTGAAGAACAATTAAGTGGATGTATGAATAAGTGTATACTTTCTCCATCAATTTAGAAATAGTGCAATCTTATTCCATCCATCCGGCTGCAAAACTCAGGGAGTTCAATGAACTAAAGTTGCTTATAATGCAGGCAGAGTATAGCAATATTTATGAGTACCTTTAACAAAATATTATAAGTGAATATGGTTCACACAAACATGCTAACATAATGGCTTTGGGTAAGAAGGCATAGGATATAAAATTGTTCATTAGGCTTTAAGCTCTGAGAAATTAATCTACTCCGGCACGTAGTAAGACATCCACCCACTATTTTAAACTTCACCTAGAATTAGTATCTAACTATGGATCTTTTCCATGGTTCCATACTTTCATCGTACCAGAAAAAAACTAATTAATTCACTACTGTCATCAAGAAGTCAACCTAGTCATATTCACTAATTTCCCTTCCCCTTTCCCTTTGAAGTATTTAAGTTGGGGATTAACTATTGAGCCGAAGGGGTACTATTAAACCTAAAAACTGGAAGGAACACATGTTGAAATTAGACAGCATGAGGGATTGCAGAGTGGCATATGATCAACTTTGCACACTTTTCAGGTATCTAAAATCCCAAGTTAGCAATGGCTTCTTGCCTGTATCTCTACTAACTCCTTCACAAGACAAATACAATGGGAACGGAGATCAGGATGCATGTCAGACTTCCAAAACACCTCTCATGCTACCAGAACTCATAAATAGATAGTTCTTCTAAACCTAACCACATTTAACGTTCTTCCCAAATATGAAATATTTTTTTGGTTAGATGAATAAAAAAGCAAATTATGCTGTGGAAAATCCCAAGAAACAATCTTGTCACCAACGTATATTCAAGTCATACATTCTCTATACCTCTCCAGGATGACGAGTGTTTAAAGCATGAGCATCCAACTTGTAGTTGTGCTGTGGAATTATAAGAGATTCCTCAGATGACTGCGCTTGGACACTCTAGAAAAAGCACAAAAGCTAAATCAGCCAAAGTTAAAATAAGGCTGGTATAAAAAAAATTATCAAGTAAAAGACATCCAGGTACGTATAGAACTACAAAAGACTGCTAATTCAGCCTTTCTTTAAAAATTAATGAGGGTGGAGAACATAAAAGAAGCCAAGAAACAGATAAACAATGCCAGGTAACTAAGGATATAGAAACACATCGCAATTGTCTCGGATGTTGCACAGGTAAAAAACCAAACGGATCACAGTTGCTTTTTTTTTAACTCTACCTAACAGGCATATAAATAGAAGAAACGATTGGGTTCAGGAGATAAAAACAGGAGACAATGAATTGAGAATGAACATCGTATACTATTCATATTCAAGACAAGGGAAGTGATATAGACCTCTGACTTTCTGCTCCATCGAATTTCCCCAGTTCGACCAGCAAATGCATAAAATACAAAATGACGCAAATCAACTGTCCCAGAACTTTCAGAAGCCTGAAAAAAGAGAGCAATATTATATCTACTGATATCCTATCTTATATCTGCCTATCTGGACTAAAATCCAGTACTAGTTGGCCAGTAAGTATTTAGTTACTACTTTCAATTCCATTTTAGGTTGTTCAATATTACTTGTCTGACTTCCTTTTGCAAATGGGCCAACACAATATAATCCTTCCTGCCCTTTAATCAAGACCCACCCACCTAATATTAAATCTCCACCAATCAAAGGATATCTTCTCTCGCCTCTAAATAGTTTCCTAAATTGTGTATATGATTTAGTACCTAAAGATTACAAAGTTCTACATTGGATGGAAATGATTAAAACAAGGCATATACAAGTGAACAGAATTAGAGAGCAAATAAACACAATACAAATTTCCAAAAGCAAAGAAAACACTTACTTCACCCTCTGTGGCACTCCTGCGGTGTTGCTCTGCAGTTTTCTCTGCTATTTCAATTTCTTCAAATGGATCCATATGCATCTGAAAATATGTACAGAATTGTTTTCAAGATCATCCAAGAAAAGATATGCTTACAAATTAGTTCATGAAAGATGCCATTCAAAACTACTTACACTTCTCCCTAGACTCCATTCCAATTTATCAAAACATGAATTAAATTGTTTACAATTTGACGGTCCATAACACATAATTTATATTAGCGCATGAGTAGCGTGCGCAATGAAGATGGTAATTATAATACTCCGCAAATCGTTAAAATAGAGAGAGAGAGAGAGAGAGAGAGAAATCTGTTTACTTGAATACTGTATACGGGATAAAGGGAGTACAACATATATAGCAATTGCAAAAATGTAAGAGAATAACAACTCATTGAAAGTGCAGAAAAAGTGAAAAAATTTAATAACGCTACTAGACATAAGACCACATACATGAGGCTGAATTTCCATTCTTCCACCTATAATCACCAATCCAGAATCTCCATGCCTAATGGTATAATTACTAATTGAGATTCCAATTTCTCTATGATGAGCGTTATGTGGAAAATCCTCCTGTAAAGAAAAAGGGCAATATGAGAGAGAATATTTTCCCCAAGTTGAGCAAAAATAAGAATAAGTTAATAAGAATTACAATAATAACAGTATAATAATATTAATATTAATAAACTTATTATTATGATTAAAAATAATAATAGTAATAATAATCATAACAATAATACCAATAATAATAGCAACATCATCGATAATAATAATTTTCTTCACAGAAAAAAGTCAAAATGGTGCGATTTTCTCACTAGATGTTGAAACCAGTAATTTTTAAAATAACTATAACCGCACCTGAAGGTTCACCTCCCATAGCTTTTTGAGGTTGTGATCAAAACACATTACAGACCAACCCGATGTAACAACAACCAAAACCTCTTTCCGAGGTTCCCTGGGGTTGTAATTCCTATCTATAACGCCAGTGGCCATTGCCACAGCACGTCTTCCTGATGTAATACGAACTTTATCAGGCAAAAGGGACACCTCCGCAAGCACACGTGCTTCACTAAACCCTTCATCCACTCTCCTAGCATGCGGTTCTAAGACCTACCATTATAATCATGAGAAAAATAAGAATATAAGAGCACAGCATCCCAAAATAACAGGGAAATTGTCGAACATATGACATATCCAGAAGAGTTTTGAGTGAATTGGTTAGATTATGTACCTTTACTTTCCGTTTAAAGAAAGTAAGGATCTCAAATAATTGAATTATTGAACTAAAACATTTAGATCACCTTCTCTGATATTTCCTCCACAAAAGTAGCCCATGCTTACTATTGTTTATGTTTAGCCTATGAAAGTAACAGTTAACCAGAAAACTGGAAAATGGCAATTTATTGTTGAGATATATTCATCATAAACATAAAAGCACATGATAGGGAATGAAAAGTAGAATGCTTGAGATGAATTGCCTGGATTTTAGCATCGTGTGTAGCAATGAGGACCTCTTTTCTGCCATCTCCATTGAGATCAGACACAATAGGCAGAGGAAGACGATCCGCCTCATATTTGATAGGATATTCGTCGGAGAGATGAAACCACGCCTCTCTGAATGAAAAATCACCTTCATGCTAAGATCAGATAGAAACCGAAAAGAAAAAGTCAAAGTGTATGTACTGAAAAGTGAAAACAGAATAAATAGAGAGAGGAAATTTAATAAGTATGGAGAAGAAATTTAACAGGATAAATAGAGACAGAGGAACTACTGTGAGTGGAGATTGCTAGGGTTTATAATGTTTTCCTCGGAGATTTAAAGTAACGGAGTACCTGAAGAGAGAAGAAGATGGAGAAAGCAGAGAGCATTAGAATAGCTAGATCGCGCTTCCTCATCTTCAACTTCTTCGCTCACACTGGTGCGAGTGTTGACACAGTGAGGAGTTTAGGTTGTCTCTTCTTCGGCCTACACCTACGCTGCAAGCTTGTAACGCCTATACGCGATGGAGGTTTGGGATTTTTGAACCGGAAATCTGAAAATGAGTTGGAACAGAACCTTTGGTTCTTACAAAATGAGTTGTTACATGCAGGCTCGATTCTTAAAATTTAATAATTTTATACTTTTATGATAGTATTTTTAACAAAAAAAACATTTTCATATCATTTTAATATTATTAATATTTTCTCTATATAAACATATAATCGGTTAAAGTTAGACTTCATTGACCTGAAAAGTCAAGAATGGCTAAGTAAAATGGGACGGAGGGAGTATTAGTAAAACTCATAAAGTATCCGCTAGGTTTCTACAGATTCGGAACAGTTCGGTTCTAAGGACGGAATCATTCGATATCATGTCGTTTCGAAACGGTACAAAACGGTGCGGTATAATGTCAAACACACGCTAAAAATTTGGACAAATCTTGCAATTAGTAAATATCATTTCACCAATCAACTCACATGTAATGTTGATAGGGAAAATGTACAAATATACCCTTGTAGTATGGGTGTGAGAATAAATATACTCATGTTCTATTTTTTTGAACAAATATACCTCTGAAGTATATGTGGAAGTGCATATATACCTCGAATTTTTAAAAAGTGCAAAAATATTCGTCATATTTTTATCAAGGAGTAAATTTGCTCTTTTTTACTTTAAATTGATAAAATAAATTTTAAAAAATAAAAAAAAATTAAAATGTACTTGTGTCCAATTCTCCGTTTTATTGAATTGTTTTTATATCACAATCTAATATTGTTAGTATAAAATAGTATTTCAAAACTTTACTATATATTTTAGATTCTTTCAAAAAAAGTGTTAACATATGTGTTGCAATGTTAAAAAATTGGCATTCTTTGCATTGTGAAATTATATATTTTGTATAATGATAAATAGTCCAAAATTACAAAATAGTCTAAAATAGTAAACAAAGTCAAAGAATGTTATTTTAGAAAATGTAACAATGTGTTCAATTTTTGGATAAAATGTAAGTATATATTAAAATCATCCAAAAGAGTTTATCTGTACAACAAAAACATGGGCAAAAATGTAGGCTATCCAAAGATTGGATAAACCATCACCTCAAAAACTAGCTTCTACCTAGGCTAATAAGATGAGGTCACGGCCAACCACAAAATAATAGGTGATGGGCAGCAAGTAGTTCTCAAAATACAACCACATCATGTGGGTAATACTATACAAAATCTTGTACACTATGTACTTGATTCGTGCAACAACATCCTCCTCTTTAGGTATAAGTCCATCAAATCGTGTTGCATTCCTTATCCTCCAAATCCAATATATGAAGTAGCAAAAGGCAATGTGTGTGGCCTTCACTTTGATCCCAACTCCTCTTCTTTCTTTTCTAATCCATTTGACCGAGCTTGACAAAGTATTCATCTCTCTAGGCATTTCCATCCACTCCTTGATCAATTGTCAAATTTTACCTAAAAAATGACATTCAAAGTATAGGTGTGGAACCGTTTTCCAGTCCACCCTTACAAAAGATGCAAGTATTAACTACATACAATCTAAAGAGATTGTCATATGTAGCCAATCTATTTCGGAATATCAATGAAGTAGTAAAGGAAAACTTGGGAGGGATGTAATTTTTCCAAATGAAGGACATCCACCCACGACAAGGACCTTTTGTTCTAAGCAAGTCATAAACCTTAGAAGAGATAACTTACCATTTCTTGAAAGCCTTGTAAAGTATGAATAGCATTCGAGATATCATCAAATTTGGACAGAATTTGTTCTCGGACCAACGCAATCTTCTTGATCAATTGTGAGTCCTTTTTGTGTGGGATGAACTCCCACACATGTGTTCAATGTGTTCAAAATTTCACAATAAGACTAAAATTAATATTTATGAATTTAAAGTGCTTCATTTACAAAAGTAAAAATAATAATTTTGCAATTTAAAATTAAAGAGGTAATTAATATTTTAACATAATAATAAATTTTTATTTTTAAATTTCAAATTTATAATTTTTTTGGCATTTTTTGAACATTATTTTATCTATTTAAAGTCAATAAGGGTAAATTTGTTCCTTGATTAGAACATGAGGGGTATTTTTGCGAGGTTCAGGGGTATACATGCATTTCAACATATACTTCAAGAGTATATTTGTTCCGGGAAATACAACATGTGTATTGTTGAGGTTTATTCCGTCAACGCAAAGGCCCAACACGTTCCTTTGGATCTCGAGTGGATGGTTTAGTGAGTTAAGATGTTAAACAAGCTAAGTTGGGTCAAATATAATGTAGTAAGTGGGTCATATCTTATTAAATGATAATAAGGGTCCGTATACAACACATTTCAACTACAAGTCCCGAGGTCGTTCGTCTATCGCTATGCTAAAAGCTGATACAATTGCTATTTGCTAAGAGTGCTACGTTGTCAACCCCTTACAATGAAATAGATGCTACTATTTATACTACCAAGGGGTAGGTAGTATCAGTGACATGGAGGATTGTGGATGACCAGCTCTCAACCATCAAATCTACCGCATTAAATGCGACTCCCGCTAGTATCTTGGTTTCCCACCATAGCGTTGGACGAGCGTCCTGACGAGCTTTGGCCTGAGGTCCTTGATGGGCTAAGGATGTATCCCTGAGCGTGCCCTCTTGGACAGAGGACGAGCATCCACCAAATACCAGACTTGGGTCATGTGTCTCCCAAGGCCGTGAACCCGTACGGACGGTGAATCTCAGTTGAGGATAAGTAAGAACACATGTCCCCTATTAGACCGGACTCTGAGGACGAGCATCGACCTTCATCCGACCCATACGCACGAGCGTCTGTCCAAGATGGGCCATGTGTGGTTCTCATGTCCAGGGATAATGGACCGACCTGCTATTGGGCCTATTAACCCAACATGTATATTTGTTCTCCCATCCATACTACAGGGGTATATTTGTACTTTTTCCTGATGTTGATATAAATACAAGAAATTGCATATGTAGTACTAAAGTTCACAAATACACAAATAGTGCAACACAATTAAGAAAAAGTATAGCAAAATGATGATACACGAGATAAATATCATCTTTAATTTACTAACTTCATGTGAAAATATAAAAAGAATATCACCAAATTGTTGAATATAATATAAAAATTCAACGTTCTTCTTTGTTTTAGGTTAAATATTGGTGTTTTGACACAAATATTACTAAAAAATAGACAATGTACAAAAAAGAGACTTTTTTTTAACTTTCCAAATATGTGACTAATAAACACCTAACTCCCTAAATTACCCTTCCTAAGTGTTGAGCACGGAATCCAGATAACTAAGCCATAACATTGTCGTACCTATGTATCATTGCATTATCTAGCAATTAAATCTTCTTTCTGTTTTAATATTATTTCCAATAATAGATATTTGGGTCTTCCAAAAAGAAATAGATATTTGGATGTAAATATAGGGGACTCAAATATTTAAATTATTACAAAAAAAACTAGTGTGAATATCGTCTCACTTACAATCATTGCTCCAGTGACCACAGTCCCATTTACTACCGCTCTGGTGACTACCGTTTTATTTACTACCGCTCCAGTGACCACAATTTCAGTTACTGCCACTGCAGTGATCAAGTCCCAGTTACTACAGCTCCAGTGATCACCATTAATGTTACTACCACTCCAGTGACCACCGTCCCAGTTATTACCACTCCAGTGACCACCGTCCTAGTTACTACCACTCTAGTGACCACCGTCCGAGTTACTACCGCTCCAATGACCACCGTCCCAGTTACTACCGCTCTGGTGATCACCATCCCAATTACTACACCTCAGTGACCATTGTTCCAGTTACTATCGCTCCAGTGACAACCGCCGGCGATAGTGACAGTGACTACCAAAATCCATTAGTGATGACTCGTCCCGCTAGTGACATGGCGTCGCTAGTTTTAGTTACCCGATCCGCCAATTACAGTTACATGATTCCATCAGTTATAGTTACCAGACCCGTCCAGTCACAATTACTCAACCCGTTCAGTTACCGTTACCTGATTCATTCAGTTACAATTACTCGACCCCCCAATTACAATTACCCGATTTGACCTGTTACAATTATAAAAAACCGACCAATTACAATTACTCGGCCCAATCATTTACGGTTACTGATGACCACCGCCGGCCACCACCCCGACCACCAGCGCCAGTTACTACCGGCGGCAACCACCTCCGCCACCGCCGACGATCACCTCCGGCGACCCTTGTCGGACCCCTTCTTGCCTACAATTTGTAACTCTATTGCAGAACATTGCCCCCAAGTCCTGGTTGTGCCCCTTCCCTAACCCTCATTGCAATTGCAATACATGCCTGTGCACTAGCCCTGGCACCCTCCGACCACACCATCCCCTACCCAGCCCCTTGCCCCTTGGTCCCACCCTAGTCCGTCCCATTCCCCAATTTGTATCCCTATTTCCCTCCGCCCTTATGCGCGTATATGACATCCCTCCACACCCTAACCTCGGTCATCGCCACCAATGTGTAGCCGCCCACCGCCTGTAAATGTAGTAGCAAATCAACCACGACATCAATTCAGAGGACGACATCATCACCCCGTCGAAGAAGAAGACCGATGTCGGCCAGATGCTCCACATCAAGCGGCGACCATTCAGATCTAATCTTTGAGAACAATGGTCTGCGAGAAAGAAAGGAGGAGAATAAGAGGTTAGCCGACAGAGGCGGCGGACGACTCAGTCCGGTGGGTCGATGTTGGCATGGAGATTGTTGTCCGCTTGATGAGGAGATCCGCTTGTGGAGGAGTGTTTGCGTGAGATGTTTGAGTGAGACGATACAGTGAGAGTAGATGGATTAAATGAGCTAGGGGCATTTGAGGTTATTCATACTCACGGTAGTCAATTTTTTGTCCATTTAGAAACTTAGTCCTATTTATGTCAATAGTAATCCCATTAGTATTATTTCTGTCATTCTTTCTTAAATATTAGTTCTAATCTAATTTAATTGTAGTTGAAACCTGAGAGCTAAGATTTAAATCATATTAATTCAGTTGTAAAATTGCACAAATATGATACAACAACACGTCATACACACTATATTACGA